AAAGGGAAACATAACAACAGACAATGAAGAAATCCAGAGAATCATTAGATCATACTTCAAAAATCTCTACTCTACAAAACTGGAAATCTAAAAAAAAAAAAAAAAGAAAGAAAGAAAAAGAATATTTTTCTGGATAGGTACCACATACCTAAGTTAAATCAAGACCAGATAAATGGTTTAAATAGTCCAATAACCCCTTATGAAATAGAATCAGTCATTAAAAGTCTCCCAAGCAAAAAAGCCCAGGACCAGATAGTGTCAGCGCAGAATTCTATCAGATCTTCAAATAAGAGTTAATACCAATATTCTTCAAATCATTCCACACAATTGAAACAGAAGGAACATTACCAAATTCCTTCTATGAGGCTAGAGTTACCATGATTCCTAAACCAAATAAAGATGGAACAAAGAAAGAGAACTGCAGAATGATCTCCCTCAAGAATATGGATGCAAAAATATTCAATAAAATACTGGCAAACAGACTCCAGGAACACATCAAAACAATTATCCAACATGATCAAGTAGGCTTCATCCCAGGGATGAAAGGGTGGTTCAACATACCAAAGTTCGTCAATGTAATATACCCTATAAACAAACTGCAAGAAAAAAAAGCATATGATTCAGAAGGGAAGTCATGGGCAGGATGGGAGCTGGGGGTCTGTCTCTATGTCTCAGAAAGTGGCTGGGGTCTCAGGCAGATGGGTGTGGGGGCAGGGCTTGGAGATTGCAGGGTCTGCCAGAGGTCTTGGAAAAGGGGAGCCTTCCTGGTAGGGCTAGAAGGGAACTTGCCCAATGGCCAGAACCTGGGGCCAAGTTGGGCAGGTCTTCCCTGGAGTGGCTGGTGCCCAGGGATGGGGTCTAGGCTGAGCCCAGCACTCAACTCTGGTCCAGAAGGAAGTCCGGGGCAGGAGAAATGGATGAGATATACATGAACAGCCTGGACATGAGTGGGAGTAATGAAGGGTGAGGGTTGAGGGAAAGAGAGCTTGGGGGAGCAGGAGATCCCAGCTGGATCAAGAACAGAGAGGGAGAACAAGGAATAGGAGACCATGGTTAATGAAGACCACATGACAAGAAGAAGCAAAGTGCTAGAGAGGCCCACAGAAATCCACAAAGATACCCCCACAATAGAATGCTGGCAATGGTCGAGAGACAGGCCGAACTTACCTACTGTGGTAATGGGATGGCCAAACACCCTAACTGTCGTGCTAGAAATCCCATCCAATGACTGAGGGAACTGGATGCAGACATCCACGGCTAGGCCCTGGGTGGACCTCCGGGAGACTAATTAGTGAGGAATAGGAGGGTTTAAATGAGCAAGAATTGTTGAAACCAAGGTTGGATAAAGCACAGGGAAAAATAGCAAACAAATGGAAACACATGAATTATGAACCAAAGGCTGAGGGTCCCCCAACTGGATCAGGCCCTCTGAATGGGTGAGAAAGTGGATTGGCTTGATCTGTTTGGGAGGCATCCAGGCAGTGAGACCTGGTCCTGTACTCATTGCATGAGTTGGCTGTTTGAAACATGGGGCTTATGCAGGGTCCCTTGGCTCAGCCTGGGAGGAGGGGAGTGGACCTGCGTGGACTGAGTCTACCAGGTTGATCTCAGTCCTTGGGGGAGGCTTTGCCTTTGAGGAGGTGGGAAGGAGGGGTGGGCTGGGGGGAAGGGGAGGGGGAAGGATGGGGCAGGAGGGGGCAGGAGGGGGGAGAACAAGAGAATCCATGGCTGATATGTAGAACTGAATTGTATTGAAAAATAAAATAAAAATTTTTAAAAAAGCACATGATCATCTCACTAGATGCTGAAAAGGCATTTGACAAAATTCAACACCCCTTCAAGATAGAGGTCTTGGAGAGATCAGGAATACAGGGAACATACCTAAACATAATAAAGTCAATTGACAGCAAGTCAACACCAAATTAAATGGAGAGAAACTCAAAGAAATTCCACTAAAATCAGGAACAAGAACAGGCTGTCTGCTCTCCCCATACTTATTCAATATAGTACTTGAAGTTCTAGCCACAGCAATAAGATAATATAAGGAGATTAAGGGGATACAAATTGGAAAGGAAGAAGTCAAGCTTTCCCTATTTGCAGATGACATGATAGTATACATGAGTGACTACAAAAATTCGAACAAGGAACTCATACAGCTTATAAACACCTTCAGGAACATAGCAGGATACAAGATTAACTCAAAAAAATATCAGTAGCCCTCCTATTTACAATTGACAAAGAGGCTGAGAAGGAAATCAGAGATATATCACCCTTTACAATAGCCACAAATGACATAAAATACCTTGGGGTAACTCTAACATAGCTTGTGAATGTCCTATATAACAAGAACTTTAAATCCCTGGAAAAAGAAATTGAAGAAGATGTCAGAAAATGGAAAGAGCTTCCATACTCATGGATAAATAGGATTAACATAGTAAAAATGGCAATCTTATCAATAGCAATCTACAGATTCAGTGCCATCCCCATCAAAATATCAACAAAATTCTTCACAGTCCTGGAAAGAATAATACTCAACTTCATATGGAAAAAAAACACAGGATAGCCAAAAGAATCCTGTACAATAAAACAACTTCTGGAGGCATCACAACCTTGAACTCAAACTCTACTATAGAGCTACAGTAATAAAAACAACTTGGTACTGGCCTAAAAACCGATATCTGGACCAATGGAATCAAATTGAAGACCCTGACATTAATCTGCACACCTAGGAGCATATGATTTTCGACAAAGAATCCAAAACTGTACAATGGAAAAAAGAAAGCATCTTCAACAAATGGTGCTGGCATAACTGGATGTCAACATTTAGAAGGTTACAAATAGATCCATATCTGTCAGTGTGCACAAACCTTAAGTCCAAGTGAATCAAAGACATCAACATAAACTCAGTTACTCTGAACTTGATAGAAGAGAAATTAGGAAGTAGTCTTGAAAGCATTGGCACAGGAGATCCCTTCCTAAATATAACACCAGTAGCACAGACACTGAGAGAAACTAGCTCACAGGCTCTTTCCCTCAACCCTTGCCCTTCATTACTCCCACTCATGTCCAGGCTGTTCATGTAGATCTCAGCCATTTCTCCATCTGTGGGCGATCCTCATGTCTTTCTTGGGGTTCTGTTTTCTAGGTAGCCTCCCTGGTGATGTGAGTAGCAGTCCAGTCATCCTTGTTCCACATCTAGTATCCTCCTTTGAGTGAGTATATATCATATATGTCATTCTGAGTCTGGGTTACCTCACTCAGGATGATTTTTTCCTAGATCCATCCATTTGCCTGCAATCCTCATGATGTCATTGTTTTTTTCTGCTGAGTAGTATTCCCTTGTGTATATGTGCCATAATTTATTTATCCATTCTTCAGTTGAAGGGTATCTAGGTTGTTTCCAGGTTTGGGCTATTACAAACAATGCTGATATGAACATAGCTGAGCAAGCGCTCTTGTGGTATGACTGAGAATTTCTTGGGTATATGTCCAAGAGTGGTATAGCTGGATCTTGGGGGAGATTGATTCCGATTCCCAATTTTCTAAGAAAGCGCCATATTGATTTCCAAAGTGGTTGTACAAGCTTGCATTCCCACCAGCAGTGGAGGAGAGTTCCCCTAGTTCCACATCCTCTCCAGCATAAAATGTCTTCAGTGTTTTTGATCTTAGCTATTCTGACAGGCGTGAGGTGGTCTTTCAGAGTTGTTTTGATTTGCATTTCCCTGATGATTAGGGATGTTGAGCAATTCCTTAGGTGTCTTTCAGCCATTTGAGTTTCCTCTGTTGAGAATTCACTGTTTAGTTCTATAGCTCATTTCTTAATTGGACTCTTGGTCGTTTTGATGTCTAATTTCTTGAGTTCTTTATATATTCTGGATATCAGTCCTCTGTCAGATGTGGGGTTGGTGAAGACCTTTTCCCATTCTTTAGGCTGTTGCTTTGCCTTGTTGACTGTATCCTTTGCTCTACAAAAGCTTCTCAGTTTCAAGAGGTCCCATTGATTGATTGTTTGTCTCAGTGTCTGTGCTACTGGTGTTATATTTAGGAAGTGATCTCCTATGCCATTGCAAGTTAATAACTTTTCTTAATTCTTTATCAGACACAGCTTTTGTTATAGCTGTGTTCAGCCTTTGTAAAAAAATCAGTGAAGTTTTCATGCGGTCCCTGAAATATCTTTGTGTATACCTCAGTTGGTTTTCCAGGTCCTGGAACTTTCCCCCAAGCATTTAGAGCTGCTGTACAGCATAGGGATATTGCATGCTCATCATAACTGGCTTGTACATTCCTGTCAGTGAAACATCCCTCACCAAGTATTTGATCTTGGGAGATATCAAAACCTCTGAGTTTACCTTGTTGTTCTCAATTTCTTGCCTCTTCTCTCAACCAGCTTTTCCACTGTAACTGCTGGCTATTTTAGAACAGCTGAAATTAACTGATGCCAGTCATCTGGAATGATTCTATGTGAAGAAGACCACGAATTTAACATCTGTCTTATGTATGTGGAGTGTATCCCATGTGTAACTACTGCTTTACTTATATTTTTAAAGTCCCTTGTTTAAATGGGTTGTAATGTATATGTCATATATGGCTCAGTGTGTGTATCATCTACTGGCATTTCATGGATGATGACAGGATAAGCCATTGTATGAGAGCCATTTGGAGATGTTACAACCTGTATGGTCTTGCCATTCTGCTTATTAGGTCCCTTGTTGTGTTTACTGAGAGTTTTTTCTAAGGCTTGCAGACGAGTTCCTAGAGTCTGTTCTAGGGAGTGAACCTCCTTTCTTGCAAGGGATTCCAGATTCCTCACGGAATCATGGAAGTTTTTATGTTCTTCAGAAACACGTGATTACATGGACCTTATCTTATCAATTAATGATAATCTTTCTTCCTTATATAGTGTCTGAGTAGCCACAACTTCACTCTGGAGAGTTAGTGTTCTATCCATTAGATATTCATATTTATTATCAATAAAATAAATTTTGGGTACAAGCCTGTTTTGTAAATCCTGGTTAGCAGATTTCAGAGAAAGAATCTTTTTATCTAAGCCTTCATTGCTACCTTTTAAAGCCTGTAAATCCTGGTTAGCAGATTCAAGAGAGAGAGTCTTTCTATGTATGCCTTCATTGCTATCTTTTAAAACCTGTATCAGTCCCAATAATGACTCATCTTTGTTCTTATTATTAAACCAGTGTTTGAACACTGTGTGAATTATTATGATGAATGTCAAAATGATACAGGCCAGATATGCCTTAGGAAGGTCATATATTTCCAGGAAAATGTCATTCATCATACAGGCAAAAAGGTTTTTAAATTATTATGAGGTAATATTGTTGGCCTGAAATTACAAAAATACTCAAAATTTGTTTGTCAGTTTTAAGGTGTAAAATTATCAAGCACTTTTACTTGAAATAAGATGCGGGTTTGCCTGTCTAATCTTTCTGTGGTTTTGGGGGTGTGTAGTAGCACTTTTCAACCAGCAGGAGGTGTTGGTGTAGCTCCAAAGCAGGTCCTGTTGAAAGCCTTGGCTGGCAGCCGAGTGAGCACAGGAAGTAGGCATTTCTTCCTGGAGCTTCAGGGAGTGGAGAGTTCCAGGCCCCTCTAAGCCTCTCTCTGCCTCTACAGACAGGAGGTCTGCCAGCAGACACGGCTCCAAGCCATCTCTGTGCCTAAGTAGGGTGCCACTGGGGACAGTGCTGAGTCTATTTTAACTAGGTGAAACTGTGGAAGCCTTGAGCTAGGGCGGAACTCAAGGAGGAGGTGGAATGCCTCACTCACAGTGGTTTCGCTGGTCTGGGTGTTAAACTTGCCATGGAGCTGAGACCAGATTAGCTCTTTTTCAGGAATGAAGCTGTGTAGGTTTTTACTGGTTTTACAGAGCTCTGCAGGTGGTATACTGCAGCGTCAAGTGCCCACCAGCCAGGGAGGAAGCTGAGAGTGGGGGCCACCCAGGCCTTTGGAATTTGCCCCACGTGAGCACCAGATATTGTTGAAATTATTAAAGCCACTCCACGTAGTTAAAAGGGAGGTTTACTTTGTGGGGTAACTTACAAATGAAGAGATAGGTTACAGGGTCTGGGAAAGGTGTAGAGCAGTCCAGCAGTGTTCACTGGAGAACTCTGCTTGGTCTACCTCCAGCATCCAGGGTCCAGGAACCAAGAGCGCTGGCATGGCACATTTGGATCTAGGGTCTCCAGTGTCCTCTCTTGGCCCCCGCTTGTAGGTGTGACAGTTACTGAAGCCTCAATGAGGGTTGGAACTTCCAGATCAAAGATGGAAAGTCTACCCACTACAGTTGCAGGCTGTAAAGACCCCAAAGCTTGACTCACTCTATTTTTAGCTCTTAAATCAAATAACACACTCCATTTTCCATATTTGTTTTTTTACAAATTCAGGAGAATTCCAAGACTAGTAATTTCTTCAATATGTTTAGCATCTCACTGATCCTTTACCAGCTGCTCAAGTGCCTGCATGTTTCTTTAGTTAGGGGCCAATGCTCCACCCAAACAGGGTTACTAGTTAACCACTTTAAAGACAGAGTATTTGATATTCTGGCAGTGGCCCTACTCCAAATTTGGGTAGCCAATTCCTACTTTGTCCTGCAGCTGGACAACCTGTATAGCCTGTGATTTTCTCAATGCCATTTACTTGCCATTTCAACTTTGGCCTTTCATCACTGATAACTTTTTGCTTAAATACCTTCATTCAAATACTTCTAAATCTTCCTGTCCTACAGGTTGGAGCTGCTTTACCTTTAAAATATGGAAGTATTAATAATTGATTATTTCCATCACTAGAGTCTTTTCACATAGTTCTTCTTATGTAAGCCATGATTTCAATTTCTCCTTTTTAATCTTCATCTGTAATTCTTGTGTGTATTATAAATCCTTGAGATATTAACATACACCTTCCAAAAAATTATCCCCCACTGTTTGTGAGGGAAGAGAAGCATACACCTCAGTGGCTAGTTTACAATAAGAAATTTGTGCAGATAATGTAATATGTTTATCCTCAGCCAAATATAAAGCAGTCCTACCCAACGTAGCATGCATTAAATCTAATATTAAACTTTCATTCCACCAATTGCTTTGTTTTTGAGATTATTCCATTGCTGAGAAGATATAAGTGGCTCATACTGTTTGGTCCCAGGCAATGAAATAGGCCCTTACTTAATGTGGTAAGAGATTACATGCACATCACTCACTGATTTACATTTAATATTCCAATGTAATTAATCTAAGTCTGTTCCACATAAAGGATGAAGAGAATGTTCATCCCCAGTGTCTTGAGCCTCCATATCTTCATCTTACTCAAAAACAATGTTTTTATTTTCCTCTGAGACAACATTCTGCTTTGACAATTCCTCACCAGAATATCCTTCTTACTTCAGTTTTCCACATCTGATGAAGCATTTTCTAACTCTTCAGTCTGCAGCAGCTCCAAAGCATTGGGAATTAATTTACATAAAGATCAAATCTCTCATAGTATAGCTACTTTGATGTGATTTCCAAAAAGCTCTCAACACTTTGACACTATCATTTTAATTGAACATGAAGAGTTTCCTAAAACCAATAGCAAAGCCACTTAATTAGTTCTAAAAGGTCATTAAGCTGTTTTTCTTTCACTTTCACTTCATGTCCTTTTGTCAAGCATTTTAGCAACTGCACATATTGCTGCTTCTGAATTGGGAAATTCCTCATGTCACGTCCCAATTTTGGAGTCATAGTTACCTGTGAGTGTACTTAACCTACAGTCCTGGAGCATCTAGATGTCTCATTTCCTTGAGCACTACATGTTGGGTACCAAATGTCAGTAACTGTTTCATGTAAGATGACCCCAAAAAAGAAAGAAAGTGACTTGAGGATGCGATGAAGCATTGGGAGAGCAAAGAGGAAATCACAGTGGACTGAACCCTGAGAAGCCTTGAAAAAACATTTTATTAATTGTTACACAAAATGTATTTTTAGTAAGTCAAATTCCACATATCATAGCCTTTGATCTAATCTAGGAGCTGTCAGAAGGAATACTTTAACCAAGCCATTCTCATCCATTAAAAGACTTCCTGGTTTGCCCTGAATGTCTTATGACTAAACAATCTGAAGCTCCTACACAAACAGCAACTCCGTAAATCCCAGATAACAATCACTGCTTAAGGCAAAAGAATATTTCAAAACCTAGTTGTACCATTGATGACTCTTAAGTTTATGTCAGGTACAATGGCTCTACTATATTTCCAACAGTAGCCTGTGTGTCTGCTGTGATGTGACTACCTACTTAAAGGTCCTATGCCTTGGCTTCCCCACAATGATGTGTCCTGGAACTATGAGCCAAACCATCTCTTCACACCTTCAGGTTCCTTTTCTCAGGGTGAATTATCACAACACAGGAAATGAAACTAAGGGGGATTTCTTGATCTGAGTTAATTCTTCAGTCCACAGGACCTGGAGGAATATAAGACTGATGCTGGCAGACACCAGATACAATGAGTACTTTAAAAAGGACCTCAGCTCAGATATCCAGAGAAACAGGGAAGAGTGCTTGTGATGATAAAGAGGAACACAGACATCAGAAACGTACTGACAGAGGGGGAGAGAACCTGATCTGTGAAATGGCTGTATACTTCTGTTCCTCCTCTCATCCAGGAAGTTAGCTGGGTGGAGATGAGATGGAAGACAGGATTTAGGGCATCAACCTGCTGTCTTTTCAGATTGGTGATCTCTGAATACTGCCCATTGGAAAGATTCTGTTGCAGTGCATTTTCATTGGCAATTTATATTGAGAGACTGCATAGGTTACATGTCCTGGCCACACAGATGGGATGGGTTTAATATTGTGTGCTAAGACATTAAGGAAGAGCAGTCTGTCATCTGAGATGGCAAGGCCTGGGTATGTACTCTGGGATAGGAAACTCCTGAGCAGCTGCATAGTGATTTCACTCAGAGACTTTGCTTGTACTATGACAGTTCATCTAACAAATTGAGTTGTTCTACTTATTGTTTTGCTCCATGATTATTTTTTGGAATTTGGTTTTAGCAATACTTGATTTATCTTTTCATGTGAGAGTATGTGTATATGCATATATGCATTATAAGCACATTTGAATGACTGCATGTGTATGTGTGCATATATGTACATACACTCACATATCATTGATTATACTTCATTATACACTCCTCAAGGACTTGACTAAAAGAAAAGGGAAATACTTAAATAGGATATGAGTAGAAAAGTAGTCAGATGATGTCCCCTCACATGTCACAGATCCTAAAGATCATCTGAGAAACACTTAGACCTGATAACTATTGTCAATGCAGCACTTTCCAATGACCACAGTGAACCAATGAACATGTTAAGAGTGAAATAAGAAAAAGTACTGTTCACAATAGCTTAAAAAATACTGGGACTAATCTTTAAAAAAGAAGTGAAAGTCATTTACAGCAAAGATTTAAAAAAACAAAGAAAATCACCTAAAAAGGACAATGTAAACTGGAATGAGTCCACCCTCCCCCACAATGCTTTCTTCGCCTATGGGCAATTTTAGTATTATGAACCTCACTAAATTACCACGTGAAATTTGTAGTAGGACATGCCAATAGAACCAAGCAAATTGGCTCAAATCAGTTGCCTATGGATAGTGATAACCTACTTCCTTATGAGCCAAACTGGAGTCTGCATGAGGGCCTTGCAACAGATGCTGTCAGAGTTCCTAATTGTTCAATGTCACCAGATTGGGACACAGCTTGTGTGCTGAGAGGAAGGTATATGTGGCCTTCCTCATTATTGTTTTTTTTTTATATAACTTTTTATTTTAAAAAAGATTTTCTTTCCTTTTACATACCATCCTTTGTTTCCCCTTCCTCCTCTTCTCCCACTCCCCACACCTACCCCCATACCACACTTATCCCTTCCTCATAGAGAGTAAAGCCTCCCTAGGGTAGTCAATACAGGCTGTTTCACCATGTTGTGGTCAGACCTAGGCCCTCGCTCCTCCATCAAGGCTGCGTAAGGCATTGCACCTTAGGGAATGGGCTCTAAAAAGCCAGTTTGTGTACCTGGGGGATGTCCTGGTCCCATTAGCAGGGGACCCACAAACACTTCAATCCATACAACTTTCACCCATATCCTGAGGGCCTAGTTTGGTCCCATGCAGGCTCCCGACCTGTCAGTCCAGAGTCCATGAGATCCCAGTAGCTTGAGT